ATACGGGTGAAATTTCTTAACCCCGGATACAGCTAAAAAGCCTCCTTATCCAGTTGTGCGTAATTCTTCTCTGCCTGCGCTTAGATCCTAGTGGCCAAAGCGATGGGTCTCTCGGTCTGATCATCCGCATTGTGGGATAGTACGGCGCTGAGCCCTGACGCTGTGGCGTCACATCGGGGAGTGATGAGCTTCCTCGGGGCAAAATATACTAGACGATTAGTCTTATACATGGCTTCCCAGACAGTATCGAATGTTTGTTCTTTAACTGACCACTTATACGGCGTTTTTTCCTAGTAAATTATAGTGTTGCGCGGTTGGTGGTCAAATCAGGTTGTAAAAGAATGTAGTGTGTTAGCATACCAAGAAAGCATTGTATTTCGCTGAAGTTGCATGGTCTCACAGAGTCAGACATGGACTGGATTTCTTCGCTTAGGGAGTGCAAACCATGTTTATCCAAACCAAATCCAAGGTACGGGACAATTTCTGTGAAAAATACACATTAAGATACTTTCAACTTGAGTCCACTGTCTTCGAGACGATTCAAGACCGTCGAAAGCGATGTCATGTATTCAGGGTCATTGCGACCAAAAGTAAAATGTCATCAGATATGGGCATACACCTAATATTCCTTCCACCGAGTTGTCAATAATCCTCGAAATATTGCCGATGCAGGATGTATTCCAAATGGAAGTCTGTTGTAGTGGAACAGACCCATGTGCGTATTGATGGTTATCTCCATGGAGGGAGAGCTCATGGGGCGCTGAAGCTTGTGGTGACAAGATCTTATCAAATAACCGACGGGCTGCTGCTAATGTTGTGCTGTGGGCTCATGTCCTGGACGTCTCCTCGTGGCAACCGTTGCGTGGGAGTTGGCTTGTGCCCTTCTAACTTCCAAGATCCAAAACACCAGTCTCGCACGATTCAGTGAACTGATCGTGTGCTAGACCCGCGGTCTTTCGGGTGTACATTTAATCAGAGGCTTTGGCTGAGGACCCGAGTCGTGCCCCTATCAGATGTAGGCGCAGTCGCAGTAACCTGGTTGAACACCCAAACAATGAAGTATGTCAATATTAATAAATCCATGCTGCAGCGGCCTTCGCGCAGTGGCCTTACGAAAAGCGTCGCATTATCAGCTGCATACAGCGGTGTGGATAAGTGAAAACATGCTACTGTTGACGTCTCTATTCTTATTCCCCTGCACATACTCTCCGCAACCATGTTTCACTTAACACATTACCTCCTTCAATCCATATCGTAACCACACACACGGTTGTCCGCCAAGGCAATCGTATGTCTCCGCGCAAAGCACTCAAAATCGGTTACTGGAACGTGCGCAAACTACTGGACCAGAATTCGAGTGAGCACCCCGAGGGACGCACTGCCCTCGTCGAGATGAAACTGGCGCGCAACAACATCGATATTGCGGCACTTGTCGAGACCCGGCTCGCTAAGCAAGGTAAGCTGCATGAAGCAGGTGCTGGCTACACATTATACTGGATGGGCAACGCCGCCTCAGCATCACGTGAACATGGGGTCGGATTTGCAATATCCGATCGTCTAAATCGCCAACGAGTGGGTGAACCAGCTGGCATCAGCGCGCGATTAATGACTGTTCGCCTACGACTCGGAAGAGGTAAGTTTGCCACTTTTATACGCTCATACGGTCCGACCATGTGTTATCCTGACGACACGCGTGATCAGCTCTGCACTCAGCTATCCTCCGTGATACGGTCTGTGCCGAGGATGGGTGATTTCAACGCGCGCGTTGGGCGTGGTGCATCGGTGTGGACAGATGTCATCGGTCTGTGTGACATTGGTTCGGCGAATGTGAACGGTGACAGGCTGCTCTCACTGTGTGCCACTCACGGCCTGACGATCACGAACACTCGGTTTGCACTGAGTGCGAGTGATATAGCAACTTGGACGCACCCACGGAGTGGTCACGCTCACCTGCTCGACTATGTCATCGTATGTCAGCGTGATATGCGTGAAGTGCGCATGGCACGTGTACTGCGTGGAGCTGAGTGTGGCACTGATCACAAATTGGTGCGGACAAAATTGTACACATATATGCGTGAAAATACGTACAGTTTGCCTGTCGTAAATCGGAGGCGTAAACTTAACATGCTCTCTGTCGATACAGTGGAGAAGCGTATTGAGCTGGAGAAGGCGATGGCTGCACGCCTGTGTGATGTAGAATGCATAGCCACAGTGGGCGACCTCTGGCACCCCATTCGCGACCAGGTGACATCTGCTGCCGAGGAGACCATCGAGCTGACTGGTTTGATGAGAACAATGCGACGATTGGCGCATTGGTGTGGGAGAAGAATGCAGCATTTGCTGCACATGTGGCAGACCCCAGTGACTTGGGGAAGAAGAGACAGTTTCGTAAACTTCGACAGCGATTGACTCGAGAACTCCGTCGCATTAAAAATGCATGGTGGACGGAGAAGACGAAACAGATGGAATGCTACGCCCAGCGCCACCAACACAAGGAGTTTGTTGACTCCTTGAAGGCGGTGTATGGACCGAGATTGGAGCCGCTGAGGACGCTAATTGATGGTAACTCAGGCGCTAGCTGCACACAGACTGCAGACATAGTGCAGATCTAACAAAAACAATGACTATCTCTTAAACGACCGTTCAGAGATCGACTGGCCTACTTTGAACTGTCTAAAGCAGCTCGAGGTGTAGGTGAGTTTGATGGACACGCCGACACTGGATGAGACGCAGAGAGCACTTGCTCAGCTTCGAAATTGCGAGTGTGTCGGTGCTGACGGGATCCCGCCTAATGTATTAAAACATGGCGACCTGCGTTGGTGACTGCGCTGCACCAATTGGTGCAACGCGTGTGAATTGAGAAGGAGGTGCCTCCTGAGCTGAAGGATGCCATTGTGCTACCACGGTACAAGGGCAGAGGGAGCAAGCAATGTTGCACGAAGTATCGTGGTATCAACTTGCCGAGTTGTGCGGGCAAGGTGATTGCCCGAATTCTGCTCAGCCGCGTCGTTAGTCAGCTTTTGGAACGTAAAGTGGTGGAAGAGCAATGTGGATTTCGTTCTGGTCGCAGCACTATAGATATGGTGTTTGCGGCTCGTCAGTTGCAGGAGTAGTGCAGAGAACGACACCAGCCATTGTGTTCGCTTTTTGTTGATTTCACCGAGGCATTCGGTACGGTGAACCGCGAGGTATTGTGGCTGGTGTTGGGTAAGTTTGGTTGCCAGCGTAAGTTTGTAAGTTTAATAAAATGTCTACACAGTGGTATGCGGGGCGACGGTGCAGCTGAGTGGAGAGACCTCGGCTGACTTTGCAGTTGTCACTGGTGTGAAGCAAGACTGTATCTTAACTTTTGCCCTGTTTAATATATATCTTCATGCAATGATGCCTTGTGATTTTGATGCGGCTTGTGCTTACGGTGTTCGTGTGGAGCGCCGTATTGATGGTGGTTTGCTGAACATTCGTCGTTTCGGAGTGAGAACTCTAGTCTTTGAGACAACTATCTGTATGTCGCTGTTTGTTGACGACTGCGATTTTTGCACACAGCGCGGATGATTTGCAGCACTTGACTAGTACTCTGGCCGTGACAGCGGCCAAATTCGGGCTCACCATCAACTCAAGTCAGACTCTGTCTTTCCAACCTTCAGCAGGAATGGAGCCCGTGGGCCTGCTCTAAATCCAGAGTGCTGACGAAGTGTTGAAAACCACACCGAGATTTTGCTACATTGTGGGTGTAATAACAAACGGCCTGCAGATGAGGAAGCTGCGAATCTGCGTACTCAAAGCGGCTGCTGCATTTGACAATCTGGAATGTCATTCGTGGAACAACTACAATCTCACTGTCAAGACGAAGCTGCTGGTGTTCAAGTCTATGGTTCTGTCCGTTATTCTATACGACAGCGAAAGGTTGACGCTTTTTTGGAAGGATCTGCGTTTCCTGGTGCGCTTCCATGAAGAGTGCACCGCATTATGCGCATCGGCTGGAGTGACCGAATTTCAAGCACGGAGGTGATCCGACGCAGTGGCATATATGTAGTGGACTGCATAATTCTGTTGGGGCACTTGAGGTGGTGCGGGCATATTCGCCGCATGGATTCGACCCGTATACAGAAACAGCTACTTTACGGCCAACTGAGTGCAGGGAAGCGGCAAGTGGAAAACGGGTTACGTCCCCAGGATATGATCAATGATCTATGCATGCGCACTGAATCAGTGGAAGTTTTAGGGCGGACAGCTGGACACACCTTGCAACTTTCCACGCATTCATGATCTTGCATTCATGATCTTGCACCTTCATGATCTTTTCTTACACCGTAAAACTTGTTTGATGATACTTGTGATTATAGTCACCATTATACGCTTAGCGAAGTTGATACAGAAAAGGAAAGCGATTGCAGCATTTTGTGGAAGCTTCAGGAAGCAACAGAATAAACGCACCATTTGAGCTTTTAAGTACTGCTTTGAAATATCCTTTTGGGGAATCTGACCCCAAGATTTTGCTCTTGCTGTGCCTCTTCTTTATCTGATCTATTAGCGTTGTAATGGGTGAGCGTTTTTTCTAAAATCTCAAGCTACTTTTGCTCAACCATGTGGTCAACAAGGCGCACAGACTTGGCAATTCTCTCCATATAGTGGAACTTTGCCGATGGACTGAAGTATGGCAGAATTATCGATAACTTTGCCGGTGAAATAAAGAAAAGTTGGTTTGTGCATTTCATATATGGATGCTATATCATGACAAAAGTCCATGACTTATAACAGCACTGCAAAATTAGCTCACTTGTTTTATAAAAGTAAATATTTCAAGTGCATTTCGAACTATTGAATGTTAACGGATTTCCAACTACCAGCAAAGGAGGCGAAACTTTTGCCGCCACCCGGGGCCACAAACGCAGTTGCTATACAACTACTGATGAGTTAACTGGAACATAGATGCAAAAACGGTGAATTCACATTGAGTTTGAGATGGCGAATACAAAATTGGGGTCAAAGGCGCGACTCACAGGAGACATTGCAATACTGCATGGCCAACGCGGCATAGACTGGCGATCTTGTATTCATCGCTAAATGTGTAGAAATAAAGCAAATGAAATTCAGTAAGCATTTGTGCTTTCTAGATGCACCGACACGATTGCCAGTTTAGTATAGGTCTTATAATTTTGCGTCTAAGGTCAACAGGAGTTTCTTCCTTCCAACATGAGGTAGAAAACATACCCCAGTTTGTTCGCGCCAAAAGCATACCACATTGCACGGCTGCGTCCGAAGCAGCAAATAGTGGTGGGTTGAAGGAGCCTTAGGTGAATGTGTACTTTGTTATTCTATCGAGATTCCTGTCTGATACGCCTATTCGTGAGCATAGACCCAGTGCTGAGAGCCAGTAGTATGTGCATTTGCCCAAGATAAATCCGATACCCGAGGGAACAACACTCTGGTGCGCACGCCTGTCTCTATGACCCATATCGTCCCACACAACCAGTAAATCCAGCGTGACCACATCGAGGACCTTGTAGAAAAGGAAGGTTGATAACCGATAGGCGAAAGGGATCGTTCCCTGGATGAGTTCAGAGTTATAAAATAGCAATGCGCTTCAGTGTGCCCTACAAATTCGATCGTAGCCTCTTATTCACGTAATGAATAAAAGCCCCAAAAGCTGACTGACCATTCAGCTTTCCTATCTGGTAAAAGCATTTGTTTCATACCTTAAGGTTAATAGCTGTCCTGTCAAATCTTTATGACTGCTGACGTGAATCAGTTAACTACGAACTAGGAATGATGGCACAAGATGATCCGAACTGTCCACATCAGGCTGAGAAAGCAATAAGAAAAGTCAATCTAACCTTTGGCCTATGACAGCGGACATTCAGAGGGTTTGACCCTTCCATTATCTCTTAGATGCTTAGTGCAAGAAATAGGCCCTATTCAAAAGACGCCATCCAATTCTGATAGCCCTGGTAAAAGCATGATCTTGCTACAAGCGAGATCCCACAACGCAGGGTGACCAAGAATATGGACTAGTTATCTCCGTTCCCAGCCTAGAGTAAAGACGCTTAATATGTAAAACAGGCAGCATTATCATATACATGCTTAAAGGATAGTGAGACACCAAGTCCAGGTGAATCCCAACCATATTTGTCGATGCCTGAAACTTAGCTAAAATACCACGCTGTGAGGCTGTTAAAAAACCTCCTGGTTGTTTCGACGCTTAGTTTGAACGGACGAATGGACTTTCACCGATAGTATCTCATCCGTTTAGATTTGCCGGCAGGTCACACAATCCACTCCTGAGGATGACTGCAAAAGACTGAAAGTCTCACGTGTGAGTCACAATTTGGTAGGCGTCCAAGCGAAAGCCGTTTTCATATTTTAAAACTCATCCTCACTCTGTGCAAACAACGCCTAGATGCCATGGAACAACGTTCGTATGGTTGACTTTCACACTTGGGTTTTCGCCTTGAAACGACGGATGTTCAACAACACACCATCAATACGGTATTCCACACAGAAACCATAATAATTAGGAGCGTCAAAAGCACAAAACATCATTGCATTTAGGTAACTATTAAACAGTGAAGTGATCAAGACACAGTGTTGCTTCACAACAGACAGCTGCAAAGTCATCCGAAGTTTGCCCATCGAGTTGCATCCTCGCCAGTATACCACTGTACAGACATCCTATTAACCTTACAAACTTACTCGGACAACCAAACTTACCTAACACTAGCCACAATGCTTTCCGGTTCACCGTGTCAAATGCCTCCGTAAATTCAACAAACAGCGAGTACAATGGCTGACGTCGTTCTTTGCATTTCTCCTGCAACTAACAGTCCGCAAATACCATATCAATGGTGCTGCGGCCTGAACAGAATCCACCTTGCTCTTCCGCCACGTATGGTTCAACGACCTGACTGACGCGGCGCTTGAGTAGAATTCAGGAGATCATCATCCTCACATAACTCAGCAAGTTAATACCACGACAATACTTGACACATTGCTTGCTCCCTTTGCCCTTGTACAGTGGCAGCACAAGGACATCCTTCAAGTCAGCCGGCACCTCTTCGTCAAAGCACACCGAGTGGTGCGGTGCATTTACCAACGCGGGTTCGCCGTGTTTCAACAATTCCGGCGCTGTTCCGCCGGCTCCAGCACATTTGTCGTTACGCAGCTGAGTTAGTGCTCTCTGCATCTCATCCAGTGTGGTTGTCGGTAAGACCACTTCATCGGTTGTCGTTGCAGTCCGTGCAACACAGCCCACTCAATCTCTGAACAGTTATTCTAGGTATAGTCGAGGGGCTTTCACCATAACTGCATTAAGTCTGCAGTCTGTGTGCAGGCAGCGCTTGAAGTAGCATCCAGCAGCGTCCTCTGCAGTTGAATGTGGGTCCAAACACTGCCTTCAAAGCGTCAAAGAATTTCTATTGTTGGCAGCGTTCAGCGTAGCATTTTAGCCACCTCACCTTCTCGGTCCACCATACAAGCTTGATACGAAGGGGCTCTGGAGTCAACGTCCGTCGCAGTTTGTGCAAATGACCACTTCTCGCTGTTAGCAGGGTCCTCCACATGTGCGGCGAATGCTACACTCTTCAACGACATCAATGCGCCAATGGTCGCACTGCTGTCGTCAAACCAATCGGACCACTTACAGCTTGCGCGCCCGACGGTTTGTTAGGCAGCAGCGCCACTTGTTCACGGATGGGGTGCCACACATCACTCACTGAGGCGATGGATTCGGTATTGCCTAGAGGGTAGCCCTCGCTTTCTCCAAATCCATTCTCTAGGCAGCATTACCTGGAGAAAGAACGTTAAATTTGCGCCGGTTCAGGGCAGGTGAGCAATATATAGATGTACGAACATATATGTTCATGTGGACCCGCACCAATTTGTGATCAGTGCTACACTCAACTCCACGCAGTACATTTGTCATACGCACTAGACGCGTGTCAAGCTGGAGTACGACGATATAGTCGAACAGGGGAGCATGACCACTCTGTGCGTGCGTCCAAACAGCTCTATCACTTGCACTTACTGTAAAAGGTCTTTTCCTGATAGTCGGGCCGTGAGTGCCACACAGCGAGTGAGGCCGAGCACCGTTCACATTGGCAGTGCCAATACCATGCGGACCGATTACGTCTGTCCATAGCGCGGCATCAAGCCCAACGCGCGCTTCGAAATCACCTTGTAGGAATAGCCGGTCGCTACTCTGCCTAGTTCGTATCACGGAGGATAACTGAGTGTAAAACTGATCCCTTGCGTCATCAGGATAGCACGTGGCTGACCACGCATACTAGTAGAAATGGCAAATTCACCTCTTCCAAATCCCAGGCTACGTGTCATCAGTCGTGTGTTGATGCCGATCGTCTTTGCCTCTAGCTGGTCAGTTATGCGGTCGGGTAGTGTAAATCCGACCCCATGTTCAAGCGGTGCTGTTGGGAGGTTCCACACTCAGTACGACGTTTCACTAACACCAATCTCAAGCAGCTTGCGTTCATCAGCGTGCCATGTCTCACTGTGTGCGACAATGTCGATCCCGCAGCGCGCGGGTTCCATTGCGACCAGTGCAGAGCGTCGTTCGAGTCCCTCACTCATGTGCAGCTCGTGTAATGTGCTCACGTTTCAGTAAACGATGTTGAGTGACTTGCTCGGAGGCATACGATTGTCGTGGCGGACAATCGCTCGCATGTTGACCTCTGTTAGAGGAAGTAAGGAGTTGGTTAAAATAGGGACGGGAGATTTGGTGCAGAAGAAGAAATGTGATGGAGGGCTTCAGCGGTACTATGTGTTCGCGTATCCATTCCGTTATGTGCGGCAGATGAGGCGAACCGTCTCGCTCCACCAGCACTGCGAGAAGGCAGATGCAGCACGACCTTATCAGTATTGCTGTACTTCGTCGGTTGGTTTTGGAATGGTGTGCTGCCAATGCGTCCACGCCAGACAGGAAAACGATTCGGGTCCTCAGCCAAAGCCATTTTACTCCCGAAAGGCAGCAGGCCATGTGCCATGAGTTAGTGAACCGACTAAACCGCTTGATCTGACTCTTAGATAAAAGAAGTGTGCAACGGAGTTCCCATCCAACGGTTGCCACGAGGAGGCGTCCAGAGCATTAACCCACGGCACAATACTGGGAGCAGCGGGTCGATGATCTGTCAGGATCTCGCTACCACAAGCCTCAGCACATCATGAATTCTTCAGCTAAAACTCATGCTTACACGCACTTATTCACACACCAGTCACGTGTATCGTGATGATCACAACAGTCCCCCACCGCTAGATTAGGAGTATCCAGCTTGCTAGCGTTCTACACTCCCCTCCTCACGAAATGACCGCCAAGGCTGTACGGTAGGTCTATTAGCGTCATCTTTTTCGGCAGTGGTTCGAGTGATATTCTTAGGGGTGTAGACGATGGACCATTTCTTTATTCCTCTTCTGGACCCACAGTCTGTCGTCGCACTTGGTCCAAATGACGTCGAAGTACCCATGCGTCTTCCAACTCTGCCTCCACTGTGCAGACACTTCTTGATCTCGTAACTCCCCGTCCCACGTTTGATATGTTGGCCAGAGTTTATGATACACTCTGTCGGCTGTCTCAACCACACGAACCTTCGTTCTCATGTTACAATGATTTATGTTGTAGCGTCGCTTCGTCGAAGACTGGCGGTTAGCGACCGTGCAATGCATGTCGGGTTTAATTGGATCCAACCGAGTGAGCAGATGTCGCCCCATCAGAAGTTCACACGGTGGTTGATCTGTGGTAGCGTTTGATTTGATGCGGTACTGAAGTAGGAAGTTGTTGAGGTGGATTTTTAAAATTCCATACTGTTGTTTGGCCACATCGCGTGTGATTGTCGCAGCCGCACTGTCTGCTTAACCATTGGACGAAGGGTGATACGGTGCCGAGATAACGTGCTCCATTCCATTTTATCACAAAAATTGTCCGTGCCGGTCTCTAGTAAACGACGGGTCATTATGTGAAAATACTCTACATAATGCACTATGTGTATCGAAGATATTTGTATAGTGGGCGTCGCAGTCATAGAGATGGTTTCCAGAGCTTCGATCCAGTTGGAAT